AGAGAGAGAGAGAGAGAGAGAGAGAGAGAGAGAGAGAGAGAGAGAGAAGAAAAAAACATTCAAATGCACAACTGCAAGAGTTTGTATTATTTTCGCAAACTGTAAATCCAAAATGATATAAAATGCGTCGACTCTATTTTTACATATTTGGCGACGTATGTGAATAATTCATATATATCTCGTCTGTTTTTATTAAGCCGCAAACATTCGCTTATGCGCATTGCTATTGTTTGGACAAAATTGCGGCTTTGAATTCGGTTTTGTTTTTTAAAAATATCATTTATATGAACGACAACAAATCTACCCGTCACTCTCTCTCTCTCTCTATCTCTCTCTCTCTCAATCTTTCTCTTTTCGCTCTCTCTTTCTCTTCGTAAAACAGCAGAACAAGTTCGATGAAAGCAGATAAAAAGCAACGAAGATGTTTTCAAGCAGCTTTAACTATTTGGTGCGAGCGACAGCGATTTTTTGGTGTGATATATGGAAAAATTTTGTAGAAGACAACAAATAGACCTCATTGCTTGTGAATTTGTTTATAATGTATCATTCTGTGCAAATAATTGAAAAAAGAAAAAGAAAATAAAAAAATACAAATAAACGGATCTACAAAATATTATGATAACTGTGACGTAGTCCGCTGCGACGCGTGTCAATTTTCAAAATTGAATAAAAGCTTTGAAATACGATTAATTTGCGATAAAACCAAATATTTGCACCGAACATTTTCGTCACAAAAACCGCTTATACAATAAAGACACTCAACATTTTTTTGGTTAGATTCCATGTAAAAAAAAACGTATTAAATGTTTTTGCTGCAACTTCTGAATCAATCCACATTGTTCACGGTTTGAATGGATAAATACGTTGTCTATCAAATATACAATAAAAGCAAGTGTGTTGACAAATTTTCGTCACATATGACTTGTGCGATGTCATATTTACACAAGCAAAACCACCAAACAATTTTGCTGAGAGCGAAGGCGTGTTGTGAATCATATAACAAGGAAAACACTTAAATGATTTAGATGAAGCGAATCGATTGACAGACATTGATAAACAATGTCAAATCGAACACTTCCAATTTCAATTCGTATCCATTTTGTACAAAACTAATTGTGTAGAATTGTGCTATAAATCATTCATTCAGAAGATACAAAACTTATGTAAACAATTCACCTAGCCGATGTCGTCGTCGCAGCCACCACCATCGAATCAAACAATTGCTTTTGTTTCGATATGTATGTTTGTCGTAAATTTTTAATGACAATTTGTGTCGTTATCTCACAATAGATTGGAATTCATTAATTGAATTGCAGCATTCATTTATTTTCGTGTTTATATCGGGGATGTAGTGCGACTAGCACCTCTATGTATTCTAGTCCATTGAGTGTAACAGGCATACAATTGTGCATTAAAACATTGTAGAATTCATATGAAAATCTATTAGAACCGTGCATGTTTCATGCGTTCTTCGTTATTTTATTATGTAAACTGACATTGTAAAATTCCATAATTTGTTGTATTTTCAATTTATAATGCATATGCATTAATCGTCGGCACCAATTTCATGCTCATTCGAACGAAACAAGATGGAATTAATGATAATTCTTGCAGTCACAAGATCTTTGATCTCATTTCCTTCAATTCATACTCATTTTTGTTGGAAAATTACATTCGACCTTTTAAGATAAAATATATAAATGAACGATTTTTTTTTTTGCTGAAATAAATGTCATTGCAAAGATCAAAACAAAGAGCAATTACGCTTTTATAACTGTTTATTTATGTCTCCAGCGGTTATCATTTCACTTTTCACACATATACATGCTATTTTGGGTCGTTGACTCAGTGCAAATGCATACATGACAACAACAAAAAATAAAACTTCATATGATTACGCACACATTGCTCATCATATTTATATCGAAACTTGTCACAATTCCCTCGAGCCATGTTTCACAACCAATATATTAGAAAATTAATTATTTATCTCGTGAACGATTACAAATTCAATAAATCTATTATTAATAGAGTTTGGAGCTTTGATTGGCTCATATAAGCAACAGGTTTTATATAACACAACATTTGAGACGAAATTTCATCGAATATGTTTACATTTTATATGGATTTGGTTACAGATATTTTTTTTTTTTTTTTTTTTTCAAATTATGCACGTTTCCATTTGAAGTCGATACGTGAAATATTTCCAACTAGTCTTTTTTGTTTGAGTGAGTTAAAACACGAACATAAATTCTTCGGCTCATAAATAAAATCAGTTTTTTTTTTCGAACAAAAAAGAAATCTAGACTTTTTCATGAAAATGGGCGCAAATCGACAAATTGCCGGCGGAAGAACATTGGGGAAGTGCTTATCTTATCTGTTGGTATGTCTAAAATCAAGACACTAGTATAGCCATTAAAATTACATGGTTATAAAAGGCATTAACAATTGGTCGTGTGCTTTACAAATGTCTTTATTTATCGGTTAAATGACGCTTTGTTTTGAATACGTGCAAAATTTCACAAATTAATTATACATTTTGAATGTACTGGGAACACGCACTCACCCATATGGAATTCAATGTTCGTCACATTGAGCAAATGATTTTCAAGTGCAATCAAATTACAAAATGAACAAAAAATATACTTGTTAGAGAGAGAGAGAAATAGAGAGACTATCAACTAAATTGCTCGGTTTTAGCGTTACTGAAAATGGAATGAGGCAATCGTTTACTGTAAATAGCATACAATTAGTCAATCATGTGATGAAAATGAGTTCGATTTGAAATGTCAGCAAAAACGCAATTCATTTACCACAAACAATAATGATTTAGTGCGATCGATTTGTATATTTTACTGTTGTGATTTTTTACCTTCAAAAATTCCGGAAATCAATAACGTTTAATTTCAGTTGCACGCGTTTTTTTCCCTACAATAAATCTGCGAATAGTGATTTTAAAGTGAATATATCCAAAACTCCAAGAATCTCAATTCAAGGGATTCAATGTCAATACTGAAGCTTATCACAAAAATCTGTATCCATAACAAAAAAGACTCCATGTACAAGGCATACCGATTCACAATATAAAAGATTGACAGTAAAATTGTGCTATTTTAAGAAAACACAAACACAATTTGAATGTGAATAAACAAGTGTTTCGTGATCAGATCATTCCGAAATTGGAACATAACAGAATTTACGAATAACAACAACAACAAAAACATGTGCCGTTGTTGCCAGAGGTAAGCCAAGTATAACACGCATAATTAAATTGTTTGGCAGCTGTCTGATGAACCACGTCAATATAGAAAGATGCAATTCACAGATTTTGTTTGTAAAAACATAGGAAAAATATTGCTATTGTGTTTTCGTTCGATTTTAACCAATCAAAATTCCATTAGAGTCAAAATTGATTTAAAAATAGTGCTATCGCGAGTTAAATTTTTATGTGTTAATTGGATTAACCGTGGAATGAACAACGCATCTCTCTCAATTCATTGTGTAAATAAATCATAAAATGTGAAAAAATTGCTTATATCTGTTGTTGGTGCCGCTGCTATTGTTGATCTTATTCGCCAAAAGTCACATCGATTCTTTTCACAATTTGCGAGGAAATGCACGTTGATTTTCGACTTGAACTTCACAGTCCACATACAGTGTCTACAAATTGATATGAGGAATTGGCCTTGACGTTTTATTTACTTTGCATTGTTTGACACAACTCAACCCGAAATCGAATGCAATTTCTCAGGGTTTTTGTACGTTTTTTTTTTTCTTTCAGCGACATGTTCGCATCACGGTCGCTACAAAGATGGCTGCACTGTATATCAAAATTGATTTTATAAAGCCTAGCTCTACTTCCATTCGAAGCTCGTTTAGTGGTTGGCATCGAAAAACTAGCGCATTTGATTCGGTCACATGCTCTCTATTCATTAACAATTTTTCAAGCGAATTATCGATTTGAATATTAATTTACTGGAAGTTGTGTGTGAGTCGTTCGGTTGCGCATGAGTAAAATTTGCAATTTTATGAAAGTCGATTACGATATAGCAAATTTAAAAAGAAATAAAAATTATTACGAAATATTTTACACTTGTTACTCCAAAATCAGCACGATCCAAACCGCTCAATGAAACCGAATAATAATAAATAACATTTTTTATTACATTTTTGTTTACATTTTTCAGTTGCTTTGAAGATTGCTATTGGTATTGTATTGAAGAACGATTTTGCTTTGATAAGAATATCGGTAAGTTTTAGTTTATCGGTATAAACTATGTAGCGTAAATAAACTCATCAATTCTATTGTTTATATTTTACGTGTAGCAAATTACAATGCCGACGAAGATGAATATTTAACAAAACGTAATAAAGGATTTAATGATTTCCATTTGGACGCACACGATCGACCGATTTGCGAGCAACCCGGACGACAAGAAAATGGACTGAGGTAGTCTATATGCATGTTAAATCATTTGAACACGATATATTTTTTGCTGTTGTTATATATGAAAACGTTTACATTCTTCCAGTTCAAAAATCCGTGAAGATGATTACCGACAAATTCAAACGAATGTGCCCTTTTTGGCGCCCGAAATTTTGGCAGTGTTCGCCAATTCACAAATTTTTCATGACAATCAGCCAACCAAATCATTGGCTATTGTACACAAAAGTCCTGGCATCCATGAAGATCCAAAGAAACACACACACACCGATTCGGACAGTGAGAAGAAGCTATTGAAACGACTTGAAGGTAACAGTTTTGAATGAATTCAATTTCATACTCTGATACGAACACTGTGTAACAAAAAGAAACAGAAACACAGACAGTTTGTTGTTCAACAGAATTTCCAAATTTTCACACCGATCATGAATACAAATCATACTCATGTAAATAATGGATTTTAAAATAATAACATTTTCCAAAAAAAATAATTTGACTAACCAATTTTGTTAGAAAAACCAACTTGATTGAAAGTTAAATATTCAGGAATATCTGGTCTGTTTTCGCGAGGCGTCCGATTTGGAAAAAAAATCACATACGATCCCAATCGGCGTCTATGAAAACAGTCTTAAGACAACTAACAGAATGGATACAAAAAGGTATCGTAATTTATGTTTTACGTAGGTTGCTCCATAATTTTTTTTAAAATGGTACTTATAGTGTTGCCCGATGTAAACCATTGTCATATTCGTAAAGTTTGATGTTTTGGTATGTATTCGTGCCCTGAACCTTTTGTCGTACGAACGCTATTTGTATTGTTTACAGTGACTGGTAAACTGCGACTCAACAAAAAAATGAATTTTACACGTGAAGATTTTCGTAAAATGATTTACTACGATTTTCGAAGTAAATTATCTCAACAACAGTGTTTCGATCGACTTCATTTGGCCTTTGGCAATGAAGCACCAACCCTTCAGACAATTTATAACTGGTACCGAGAATTCCGTTGCGGTCGTAGTTCGCTCAAAGACGAGTTTCATACAGGTCGTCCAAAATCGGCTGTTGTGCCACAAAACATCGATGCTGTCAGAAAACTGATTATGGAAGATCGTCATGTGACCTACCGTGAGATTGAGGCATCTTTGGGCATTTCATCCCACAGCATACATACAATTTTGCATGAACATTTAGCCGTAAAAAAGATTTGCTCTCGTTGGATCCCACATAAATTGACCGATGAACAAAAAATGGCTCGTGTGAGTTGGTGTAAAGAAATGCTCAAGAAATTCAATCGTGGTGCTTCAAAAGACGTTAATAAAATCGTCACTGGTGACGAATCGTGGATATATGCCTATGAGCCCGAAACGAAACAGCAGTCGACTGTATGGGTCTTCCAAAATGAAGATAACCCAACGAAAGTTGTTCGAGCAAGAAGCACTTCGAAGCGAATGGTCGCCTGTTTTTTCGGGAGAAGTGGTCATGTGGCAACCGTTCCACTAGAGGATCGTAAGACCGTCAATTCTGATTGGTATACCACCATTTGTTTGCCCGAAGTGTTTGGTGAAATAAGAAAAAACAACCACCGTCGCAAAATAATTCTTCATCACGATAATGCGAGCTCTCACACATCTTTTCAAACTACTCGATTTTTGACCGGTCAAAACATCGAACTGATGGGTCATCCACCGTACAGTCCTGACCTGGCACCCAATGACTTTTTTTTGTTCCCAAGCGTGAAGAAAAAACTACGTGGTCAACGATTTTCGACACCAGAAGAAGCAGTTGAAGCGTTCAAAACACACGTTTTGGAGATATCAGTTTCGGAGTGGCACGAATGCTATGACAAATGGTTTCATCGAATGCAAAAGTGTATCGATCATCTCGGGGAATATTTTGAAAAAACAATAAAACCATTTTCGACAAAAAACAACTGTGTTATATATGTTTTTAAAAAAAATTATGGAGCAACCCTCGTATTCATTTTTTACGGTTTTTGTTTAAAGTTGACATTATGCAAGAAAGTTGATATCACCATTGATCGACTGATTTGAGCTGAGCAGCTTGAAGTGATTATATTGAGTTGCCTTCTAAAGATTTTCGACAAGGGAGAAATCACTTGAAAAAATAAAAAAATAAAAATGAAATATTGTTCAATTTTTGTAAATTCGTTTTTTCCATTATTCAAATGATTTCTCCTTTATTCAGTCACCTCACAAAAATTTCAAAATTGTAAAAATTGATGTTTTAAACGGAAAAATATAAGGAATTTTTGTTCAGCAAAAAAAAATCATTCATGACTCATGAATCACGAAGACAAGAATTTTTAACAATTTCTAAGATATCTTTTTATAAAAAATGAATTTACTAATCAAATCGATTTATCGTATTTAGAGCGATAGCAATCACATTTTGGGTCTAATTGGGTGTAAATGGGGGATATTTGAATATCATGATGCATGTCTTAAATACGTTCTCATAATTTGTTCGATATGTTGGATATAGCGTGTTCTCACTCCATTTAATTTTGTAGTCAAAATGAATAGGTAGGTTCACCCTTTTCTTAAACGTTTTTCTCTATACATGCGCCAAAGAAAATAAATCTCAAAACATTTAAATCAAGCCACCATCTATTCAATATTTTTATATGCTTCAAATAAATGATAAATTGTTAGTGGCCTAAACTAGTCTCCAGCTATTTAGTTAGAATTGCTTTAATGTTAAGCAAATTACAATCTAACACAAATGTAATAAATCTCCGAATATATCTCGCTTCTATTCTGAATTTATCATTCGATTGAGAAAAAAAAAGATTGCTTGTTTCTATCTCTCATTGTATCTGTTAGCATAAAATTTAGTTGAATGTGTGTATGAATTGCAATTTTGTAAATAATGTTCCAGGAAATTAAGTGCTTGTTCATGCACGATCGTACTTGCTGAAGAGCGAATGAAAACAAAAATTGCGAATCTGAATGTTATTGTATAGCTATGGCTAATGACGTTGTATTTGTATGTGTGTTTTGATAATGTTTGTTCCATTACATTCTGGCTCACGTCATTGTTTTTTTTTTCTCATTTATAACTACTTTATTTCTGTAATTATATCAATTTGGCTTTTGTAATCATTTTTCATGCTTCATTATTTTGGAATTTATACTGTGTTACACAAATTTAAATTTATGCGATTTAATATTGTTTACATTGTCTAGGCTCACGATAAATGAAATTAAAACTGAATACATTTTTGAAAAAAGATAATGAATAAACGGGTGCGCGTGAGACTGCATATCATCAGTTTTACAGCGCGTACAATGCTGTTGCGATAGGCTGATTTTCTGCAAAACAAAGATAAATGGTGACTTTGTTTTATTTATCGTTGACAAAGAGAACCAAATAACTTGTATTTCAAGTCGAATGATGATGCGTTGAAAAGAACTTGAACCTTCCTGCAAAGACATGCAGTTAAACTTGACCCAATAAAATGAGTGTGTGTGCATGTGTATCTCGTGTAGAATGTGAGCACAAATTGAATAAAAATAAAAACGATGGTTAAGAAAGAAAGAGCACACAGCGTACACTCATTATCGAGCAAAGAATCTGTTGAATAAACTGGTCTGGTGAATAACAGAGCGAAATAAGAATCTCATACGTTGTACGTTGGTTTTTGTTATTTTTCAATGGTTTGAGACGACAGCTGCTTTTCCATTGAATCTAAGGACAAAAACGTATTTTCGGAAGAACAAAATGCTCTTCACTTTGAATGGTTTTACATTACAATGGGCCGAATTTCATTTTGTACTGCAAAAAACAACGCGAATATTCCGAAATCGTGATGATTTTGCATACACTCTTTATTCAAGGTCATTCATTATTTTGTGAATTCATGTTTTATTCGCGACAGCTGGAAAGAGAGAGAATCAACAACAAAACATTATAATAACATAAATAATAGCATCATTTCAGCGAATACTAAACTTAATAAATTCAGATCATTTTACTCATTTTGCATTTCTGGTTGGCATAAATCACAGCTCCGCTTACTACTTTAATGGATGACAATGACTAATTGCAATTCAATGAAACGAAATGATGAGTCGGAAATTCAAAAATAGTTGCGAAAAATACACTAAAAATTAAATGCAAAAAATGGTCGCCGGTAAAAGATTCATCGCCCGTACATGTTGTGTAGCGAGATTTTCGAAATTTTGTTGGTATTATTACGTCATGAAAAGAGGCTTAAAACTTGTTCGAATGGAATGAAAGTAATAATGAGTAAATTCGATAAGCGAAAAGGTATGTGTATTACCAACAGCCAATGGTGATTCAATTGTATAGTATTTCTCCGAATATCATGTCTCGACGCGGGGTACATATAACGTCCAGAAAATAGTTTGACATTTTAGAAATAAAATTCGTTTTAAGTGCTTCAATTTCTACGAATTCAAATCTAATTTGGTTTTCTCTACTTTTTTCTCTCTATTTTGTTGGTTCTGTTTTTCATCATAATTAGCGATTGGCATTTAGACTAACCACCTTCTGCTTCAACTAAACCATCATCATGTGCATCATCCAACTGTGTAGTGACATCGCCAAATATTTGCATTCCATCCAGTAGTTGTTTGTTCATTCAAAAGTAATTGTTGAATATTTTATATTTGTTTTGTTTTTTTCTTCCTGTTCTTTTGGCTTTTTTTTATTCACGAATTTCGTAACATTAAGCTAGAATTGGTATTGCTTTTAATTATTTGTTACAATTACCATTTTAATTTGTTTATAGGAATCGAACTGAAATCGGAAGAAGATGAAGGTACTAGCGAAAATGCGGCCAAACAATCATCGCATGAAAATGAGAAATCGAATGAGTTGATATTGCGGCCATCGGTGTCAATAGTGAAAACAAATTCATCGTCCAGTGACAATATGGATGGAATGGAATCCAGAGATGATCATGATACTGAAGATGAAACGACGAGCAATAGTGTTGGAACCAAAACGCCAATATTGAATAAACGTTTGCGAACAATTCAAAGTTTACCGTATTTTTCCTTTCGACCAGCCAGCGAAACGGACATTTTCACAATTGCCGGCAGTTCAATGATTAGCATGACGCCGGAAATACCGTCCATATCATATACAACATTGCCAAAGCATTACGAAGATACACCGACCATTGAAAAATACAAAGAATCGGTTAGTTTGTACAGCATTCAAACGTCAAATATGGCACGGGCACATGAAACGGATTTCACAATGCCACGATATTATGGTAAAAGTGATATCATCGCACAGAGTGTTGAAAATCTTTCAACAACCAAGCCAATTGGCCGAACTTCACCAATCAAAAAAGTTGAGAAGAGCAAACGTCTGAAATTGCTGCGTGCCAATTTGCCACCACTTTCAATTCACATCAACAAAGAAAAGTCAAAGGAACGAAACATCGAATAGACACAGACAGAAGAATGAACGGCACCAAAATTGCTATTACGCAACTGTGATATTGAATAATTATTCATTTTCGGAACACTTAAATAAAAAATTCTAATTTTAAAAGAATGATTTAAAATTGTTGTAGAGTGCTAAAGGTGTAAACGAATTGTGAAGGAGATATACAGAACATTTACTTAATTAGATACGAACATTTTTGTTAAGTTTTTTTTAAATTACCCACACGTAAATACACTTATGCTAATTTTAGTTTTTTATCTAGCGCATTTCATTACTTCTTTGACATTCTAGTTTCAAATGAAAAGATATGCATTAGCAATTTGATATTTTAAATCGATTGGCTGATTGTTGGTTTGTTTGCTGGTAGATATTGAACTTGAAAAAAAAAACTAATTATCGAACAAAATGTGAGAAAAAATGCAGGAGCAAATACTTCAAGTACCTATAGATTTTATAAAAGGTTGTTAACATTTTTTTGTTATTCGAAAGAAAATGTTTCGATGAAAATGATTTCATATGTGAATGGTTACGAAAAGAAGGCTCCATCTCGCATCTCGGCTCCTACTCTAACTTATGTTCCTTCAGGAGAATACAAAGAGGTGATATGCTATGAAAAAGCATAAGGTAGAGATGCGAAAGTGAGTTTTAATTTTTGCCAAAATATACTTAAGCCTTTGGGTGGTGGTTTGTTTCATAGCATGTAAGATTTTGTAAGAAAATTTCTATATAAGTCAAAACTGTTTCCCAACGTTGGCATTAAAATTTAATTTTTTTGAAATGAACAATTTGTGGATCTTTTTCTTATTTTGTTGATATTTGCTTAGGGAGCGAAACAATACCAAAATGAAAAAAAAACAGACGAGTCAGCGAAAACACCAAAAAATACCGACAAGTACTGAAAGTGCCAAAAAAACCACCGACAAAAATGAAACATATTAATAAAAAATGACAAATAAAAGGAAGCTATTACGGTGTATCTTGGTACTGATTCGCTGCCTGTATTTTCATTAACCAAATTTATTTTCGACCATTTTTGAATCTTGAGTCTTTCATTCAAAAAATCTATTTTTGTTTATAAAAATGACCTAAGAAGAAGAATTAAGAAATTTGAATAATTGCGCTGACAAAAAGGTAAGTTGATGACAATGATGGTTTGGCAGCGTTCCCAAAACACCTCTAAAAGTGCGTATAAAGCCCACGGTTTAAAGCCTGAACCCAATAGCACGAGTCAAACAAAAACAAAAACAAACCATTGGAAGCTGTACGCACCTTCATCTCCTCACCGAGTCACATGTTCCGTGTCGTTCCATTCCATTGGAAACTGGAAAATCGAGTGAAAATCTATTGTGTGAATCTGTTTACGATGCGCAACGATATGATTTTCTCAAATAAACCATTGCTCTCGCATTATGTGTTGAGTGAGTCAAAATATTTCTCCGCCGGTTGTTATCCAACACATGTTCGCATCAAATAGTGTTTACGTATCTATTGACGCTTTGCTTTTGCTACCGTTCAATGTTTTTCTCTTGCAATTTTCCAGATACATTCTCTGGTATCACTCGGTGCGTCAACGTTGTCTGGATGGGAGAATCTCTCTTTAGATTGTGGATGAAATTTTAGTTCACCAGAGACTATCAATCGGCTCGGTTCGTTTTTGTCGAATGTTCCATTCAGCCGCGCTCAATAATTTGTCATCATCATCTTGAATCAAACTCAAGTTTTTACAACGTGTCAAAAGTGTTTGAGCAAAACGGAAGTTGTCGTAAAAGAACATTTTTTTTTGAACATTTATTACGCATAAAGTTTATGAATTATTAATTCGTTTATCAGTTGGTTTTATTTTCCGGACGGTATTGGTTAGAAAGTATTTTCCTTTGAAGAATTGGTGCATTTTTTTTTAGCTTACGGTGTGCATTGGGTGCACCAAAATACGAATATGTGAGGTAAATCCAAGGTCAGTGTTAAGGAAAAAAAGCGGAAAATTTCATATGAAATTCATGCAAAATTGTAATCATTCATAAAACCAAAATAATAAAGAGTCTTTGAACTTGTTTCTGAAGAAGAAGAAAGAAAAGTGTGGGTGAAAGCAAACACAGGAGAAAACCAAACACCAGTACTTATTTTGTTGAAAAAGGTGAGTTCTTCAAACCAATTTTTACGAAATGTTTATATAAATTTGGGATGGGCTATCATCGTTGCTCTGTTTATTGTTTATTTTTATTATCGCAATTGGTACAACGCAGGCGGCATTTTGTTATTTGTTTTTATTCGCATTGTTTTCTATCCAAGCAAACCGTGTATGTGTGCATATGTGAACCGAAAAAAAAAGAGCTCAAAATAAACAGTCGTCAAATATTGACTGGCAAATATAACCCTATTTAGTGTGATGGAATTGACACACACAAGTAATCCAAACGAAATGTCGCCCGTTTTTATGTTGCAATTAATTTAATTGGACACTCAATTGATTGAAGTAACAGTGCACATATCCACTGAATGTCCAGAGAAATGAGTCTACCGAATACCGGATTAATAAACCTTTAATCCATTTGTCCCTCGTTTCTCATCGCATCACAATTAAATCGACACTTAAGCTTTAAAAGAGTGACAGTTTGTAGAGTACATAGTCCGAAATTTCGGATAAAAATGGATTTTTGTATTTAAAAAAAGCTCACATTCACTTGGGAAAAAACCCCATATTTAAATGAATTGCGATACAAACACGTTAAATCCGGCCGTAAATTGTTCAATTGACATTTTAAAAATAAATCCGAAATGAGCTTTAATATTACTTAAATCAACTATTATTATACGCCCTCATTCACTTAATTAAAATGTTATGCTCACGATGTTCTGCCAATTCCATTTCTGCAAAATGCATTAAACTAGGTAAATTTATTTAATGCCACCAATTCATTTGTGTGTCGCAATACTGATTACAGCCACAAAACATTAAGTTTTTTTAATTGAATTTTCTAAAAATTACCTGTCAAAAGCAACGATCAAACACAAATCAAGCCATTAAAAGCCAAATTCGAAAGTTTTTCCCATCCAACTGGGTACTTCTGTTGAAAGTAGAAAAACAAGAGAGATAATCATAAAAAAAGTGGCTTCGGCAAACGAGAAAAGTCGGAGAATTGTTATTAGTTTTGTGTAGATATTTTCAAAGTGTTTCACGGTATATTCAACAAAACTCAATGAGAGACAAGAAAATATAACAAAAAAAATTAAATGAATACACAAACAACACACATGCATGAAGTAAGGAAAATAAATGCGATGCATAAGGGAAAAGTTTTCCTCTTTACTAATTACCGCACAAATTCTCTTTCTCTTTATTTCGCAGTCTTCTCTTCTGTTGTTTTTCATTGTGTGTATGTGTGTGTGGGTATACTCAGTTTGTAACGACAATTTTGTTGGTATTCTTCAGTGTAAAACCTAGAAAAACAGAGAACTTTCTCTTATTACTACTTGAGCGAGTTGATTTTGCTGTTCTCTTTTCTCCTTCGTCATTCGACGAAAAAGTTGAAAGAATGGGAGGTTTTCATGGTTTCGATATTATTTTTGTTAACAACGTTGGAAAAATTCGTAGGAAAATATGTTTATTTTCTCTTAATTTACATTTTATGCTGATGGGATTTCATTCAAGGGAAAAAAATTGACAGAGCAAAATATTTGCTTTTTGGTTTTGAATTCTCACATTCGTTCCGAAGTCATCCCGAGTTATCCGGATATTAATTTGCATTTAAATCCATCAAAATTGATAGAGACGAGAGAGAGAAAGTGCAACAACAAAAAAAGGAAACCTTTTTAATGAGAGAGTCACTCTTTTTTCACCACACAAATCAAACAAACAGCGTTGTAATATAATAAATAATATAGCGGTCGTAGCACATCAGATTTTAACACGCAATCAATACCACTGAAACGGCGAAAACAAAAAATTAAACCAATTTTATTATTCAATTGTTGGACGGTTTTCCACTGCGTCAAACTTAATTTGTTTCATTTTTTACTCGCTTACAACGCCATTTTTTTTTTGTGCGACTATTTTCTGTGCGAAAATGAAATTTTCTTCAATACATTTCCTTTATTGAAATCCGTTTCCGCTTTCATCATCAGCTTGCTTTGAATTTTCAATTCAATCTTTTTTCTCAATTCGATCCAAATACAACAGAAGCACACGGAAAACGCACTCTGTAGCAACATTCTTCGATTGTATAGGAAGCATCCATTCCTATCTTCTCTTTCTCTCATTCTCTCTCTCTCTCTCTCTCTCTCTCTCTCTCTCTCTCTCTCTCTCTCTCGTCATCGTCTGTGAAAAGTTGATTTTTTTATTTCTCCATGCATTTCCTTATCATATCCTTTTAGATTTTCTCATTTGGAAAACGTGAAAAGTTAAATAAGTTTCATTTTAGTTATGTGTATTTTTTGTGTTCGTTTATCAAATCCACTTTCCACTCGCCGGTTTTTTTTCCTGTTAATTTTTTTCCCTTCAAAATCAAATTCAAGTAACTCGAAACTTTGGCCGCTTTTTCTTCAGCATGATTTTAAGCGTCTGTCACACCCTGTTTGAGTTTGAAACCAATGTTTATTACGGTGCAATGCAGAGGACAGTTTACGATCGAGAGGAGATATATATAAACTTTGCCATTTAAGAAAAGTCATCTAGTCCTACGAGCTGTGTCAAAACGAAATAAAAAAAATGTTTTTCAATTAAAGAATTTCTCATTTCCATCGTCCATATATGCGCTGGATCTGCAGTTTGAATGATTAAAGATGCCATTGGTTGGCTATGGAGTAGGACATTGGTATTTGCCAACTCATGAAATGAATAAACTTATGCAAGCTACACTTTAAAAGATTGATGTAGTTGAATTCTCTTGCGTTGTTGTTGATGACCTCAAACATTCAGTCAACCCCAAACCGCTCATCCGCTTGTTCCGTCACTTACATCGATGGCATATCAATGGTGGCAGCAGCAACAACCAAAAGCTAAAATTCAACCGCATAATCCATTCTACTTATCACTGGATGATTGCATTTTTAAATTGCGAATTCCATTTTATGCCACACTCTTGCCCTTTCGATTGTGTCCTCGAAGCAAGGACATACATAATGCACCACATCGATGTTTGAATCGGGCGGTTGACGGTGGTTTTTAGTGTTCGAGTGTGGAATATGAAGAAAATTGAACGATTTGGTTTTTCCATGAATGTGGTCGAATGAAATGTAGGTTAAATCTTTATTGCATCGCATAACTCATCATGGACAGCCATAAATTTTTAATTGGGCATACTTTTGTATTTGCTTCGACGTTGAGATTATATCGAGAATGAAACATTGTTCGAGAATGAATGATGGAATTGGGTTTAATGCAGACAATATGTATTTTGACAGGCATCTATTTTGATGAGAATAATGGATTTCTCGAAATTTCGCTAGTTCTTGATTCGATTTAGCGTTCCACGTAAAATTCAAATAAACTTGATGGTTTTAGTGCCTGACAAATTACATATTAAACTTGGACCATAAATGGGCCGCCTTATTCATTTCTTTTCGTGATAAAACCATATCGTTGAAAAGCCAAGGGATTTGCAATTTTGATGAAATGAATAACAATAATTTTTCGGAAATGCACACACGTTCCATCGAATATTTTCGTTTTATGTTTGTTCAATGTATGGGAAATAGTATTTCCGAAATACTGTATTTTTGCTAAATGTTCATGCTCAATTTTATCTCAACCGCGCGCACAAAAATGCTCCTTTTTTGCGCCCACTTTTATTGTATTGCACACAATAAAATTGTTCCCGCTGCCGTCGCACACATAGCACAACAACATCGTTGGTGCTTTGTGGTTTGTCCCATTTTATATGCACAATTATTTCACACATACACACATTTATGGTACAATTTTGTATGGCTTTAGTTATTTGCTTTGTTACAAATCTTGATGAATGCTAAAATCGGGCGCGCGAAAATGATGGGCTTCGATTCTTTCGACAAAAAGAATTGTGCACACACATACACAAGAAGAAGAAGAAAAAAAATGCCTCTGAATAATCACGCGTGTAGTGGGTAACTGTAAGCCACCAGACCAACTGTTTGAGAGCGAGAAGCAACAACAAGACCCATGTCAGCATGGTATAGTAAGTGGCAGCAACACAGCAATACCAATCTCATATAGGAAACAAGCACTGATGACACTGGATAAAAATGCCAAAGGGAATAGGCCAGCCAACAAATAGACGCTTTTTTTCCTGCTGTTGCTTTCTTCTCTTACTTCGTGTGCTCATCTTTAATAACACGCATTAGAGCAAAAGCATTCGAAAGAAATGATATGAAATAATGCTTGGCAGAAGCAGAGAACGAACGATGGAAAAAAAAAAATGCGAGTAAAATCCAAATATGTGTACGATGGTGCACAATGGGAACAGAATTTTATAAAAGAGGAAATTATAAGTTATTCTCTCACTGCTCCAAATCTAATACCATTGCTACACGATATACACTGGCTCGAGAGTCGACAACTCACGCACACAATATAAAGAACGTGTCCTATTCAAGCATCTTCATCATTACTCTTGTTTTTGTTTCTGTTTCGTTACGGTGTTACTGTTGGTGGTGGTGGCAGTGGCATTGGGTTTAGGCATCAAATACTTCCGCCTTTTTCCACGCTCATTCTTCGTTCATAAGGACCAAAGATGCACAATTGGTCGGACGAATATACTATTTTTCCGCATTTTTATTGTTTCGTATCACATAAATCTCTTGATTTTATTGACGTCATTGTAGGGAAAAAATGGACCTTCGTTCTGTGTTTTCTTTTAAACCGTTTTTTTTTCTCTCTCGACGGATATTATTTGTATATTTGATTTGCCGTTTTTATTGTCCTACATGCGAAACGAATTTGTGAGAAACCTCGGTCACTGTTTTCACAACGCTTCAGGCCTTTCACATCTACAGAATATTCGGTTGACTCAATGAAGTTTCTGCAAAAACTAGTAACTATTTTGTTCGACATTTCTTTCGATGTTTTCAAATGACCTGCTTATGTCAAACTTAAAATAAACTTTTCTCTGCAGCTTAAAATCGAACAGTGATAAAGTCACTTTGAAATAACCAATCAAA